TTTGTGTACCTTCAAGGTAATCGCAACTGTTAAATGCCTGATCTCTAGAGATATGAATTTTTAAATTGTTAGAAAAGAGTTGAGGGCGCCGAGAGGAAGGAAAATGACTCACCCAGTTTGGTCTGGCCATCTAGATGGAGTGAAGAACTGAATTCAACTTTTCCTACCCCTCTGTGCTTTCAAGATAAGCTCAAGTTTACGAGGAAATGTTTTACATTCACTTAACTACAATACTGATGGGTTGTGTTCTTTCAAACTTTGCCTGTCAACTATCCCCCCCCTTTCCCCCCCTTTCTTTCTAATCCTGCAATGTCTTTTCTCACCTGGAAAGGGGGGAGGGGACCTTGTTCTCATGTCTTTTAGCCCTGCAAGGATGACTCAGATCTGTAGAAGCAGAACTAGAGAGATTAAGGATTCAACTTTTATTCAGTCATGAAGAATTATCAAAAGTGAAAGATGATTTACAAATAGGACACAAAATAAATATTGAAAATCTTAAAGATAATATGACTATGCAAGCTAAACAGCAATTAGATGATTTGCAAAATGAAATGAACAAGAAAAATTAGAAGCTATGCAATTTGAAAATGACAGCTTAAAAAAAATAGTAATAAAATCAGAATCAACTTACATTAGAAATAGCAAGACTAAAAGATTTACCTACAGTAATTACTATCTCCAAAGAAATGATGCTTCTGGTAAATAACCTCAAGGAAGAGATAGTTCTTAGACAAATTAATAGCTGAAAATGAAAAACTTGTACAACAAGACATCAAACAAAAAGAAGAGCTTGATACACTAAAAAAACTCCTTTTCACTTGCTGACATAAATTTTAATCATAATTACCAAGAACTCCAAGAAAATTATACTTCTCTTTTAAAAGTAAAAATTGGATTTAGAAGAAAGCAAGGGCAAGAATAAAACTAAACTCCAGGCTTTGATGGAAAAGATTCAACATTTACAGGGAGTTTTTCCTGCTGGGTTGGAAACTAAAAGTACAGTTGTTCACAGTAAGAGAGAAAAAGTATTAAAAGATTTTGGGGACTTATTTGCCAGATCCAGGACAGAAGAATCCAATCACAAAAAAAATAAAAAATAAAAAAAGCAGGATTTAAACACCATAAAACAATCACATACACAAATCAAAGGATTCACATGCCAAATCAAAAGAATTTCAAAAGACTTTAAAGGGTCACATAGATGAAATCAAAAGACCTTTTAGGAATTAGTAAAAAGGGTTTTTCTTACACTCAAACAGGCTAGCCTCGGAACGCTGTGCTTGAAATTGTTTCTTGACTGCCTTCCTATAAACAATAAACTAATTCTGCTCTCAAGCAGCTGACCTCCAATCTTTTAGAAGTAATCTCCCAGCCGGGAGTTTTGAATTCAAGAAAAAAGGAAGCTCTGCCTTCCAACAATCCTTAAAGGGAAAGGCTTCTTGTTTCCTTCCAGCAAGTCATTATAAAGACCCACAATCCTAACTGGCAGGACTTGGAACAGCTGATGACCACTCTCCTTAATGGTGAAGAGAGAGAAAGATTAAGTAATGCCATTAGTAAGATTTTAAAACCCACAGACGGGGGAAACCTCCAGGCTATATTAGACCAACGGTTTCCAAGACGGGACCCACAGTGGGATCCCTATAAATATAGAACACCAGTTTCTCTATATGCCTGAGTGTCCAGTTTCCCTCCTGGGTCGTGACATCCTATGTGAGATGGGAGCTATTCTGTCCTTTGAAGAAGACAAGATGTCAACTAATAGGAGAGAGTTGTGAGGATTTTAGGAGCAGCGGAAGGTAATAAATTAACCTTTGGGCAGCCAACTACCATTAATAATGAGGCACCTCCCCAGATGAAATATGGCGAGTAATGTTGGCTCAAGAGGGTCAAATCCCCAATACCTGGCAGGAGTCTGAAGTACCGGAGTTATGGGCAGAAGATAACCCACCAGGACATGCGAGGAAGGAAGCTGTCTGTCGAATTGCAGAACCATTTACACCAGCCATGCGATTCAAGGAGTTTTAGAGACAAAGGGCCATTTATGGCTGACAAACCCCAGAATTTACAAGCATCAAGCTCTCCTCACTCAGAACCCACGAGTGACCCTGAAACAAACAAATGTTTCAATCCAGCCTTACCACCAAGAAGACATGAAAGAAAGGATAGTCAGAAATTATTTGCTTTTGAATGAAAAGGCTGAAAGAATGAAATGGACTATAAGAGAAAAGGTGACAAAGGTGTGCCTTGAAAATCACCTTAAGTGGGTAGATGCATTACCACTAGCACTTTGGTCTGTGCAATGTACTCCACGTAAAGGAATTAGATTAACTCCTTTTGAAATACTTGAAAACATATAGGGGACCTAAGCCAGATAGAAACTAAGTGGGTGAATCAGATGGTGGGAGAATTAAATAAGCAAATACAAGAAATCCAACAATACTGTGTGTCCCTTAGCCCACCATTTTTGACCACCTCTAGTTATAATATTCAAATAGTAGTAAGAAATATATTATTATTATTATTATTATTATTATTATTATTATTATTATTATTATTATTATTTAGACTTCTATACCGCTTCATAGTGCTTTACAGCCCTCTCTAAGCGGTTTACAAAGTTAGCATATAGCATATTGCATAATAGCATATTGCATTAGCATTAGCATATTGCCCCCAACAATCTGGGTCCTCATTTTACCCACCTCGGAAGGATGGAAGGCTGAGTCAACCTTGAGCCGGTGAGATTTGATCTGCTGATTTGCTGAACTAGCAGTCAGCTGAAGTAGCTACAGTACTGCACTCTAACCACTGCGTCACCTTGGCTCTTATGGGAAAACATGATTGTAAAAATGAAATGAATAATAATTGGAGTATTTGTCTTTATATTTTTGAAATCTAGACAATGATAAGTTTTTCTTTTTTAATCTTTTTCTAGAAATATGAATAAGTATAAACTGTAACAATTGAAATACTTTAATGGTATAAGGTGGTGAAAGTAAAAAGGATTAAATTGTAACTTGGATAACTGCTAGAACATTTTAAAATTTAATTAGGGAAATTGTAACGATTGAAATATTTTTAAAATTTATATTGTGATGAAAGTAGAAATGATTAAATTGTGATTTGGAGGATTGTATGGGTAAAACACTGGAAAGGAGAAAATTTAATGCCTAGGTGGAAGGGCCCGTATACTGTGGTCATGTGTTCTCCACTTGCAGTAAAAATGCTGGAATCCAAGTCTTGGATTCACTGGACTCGAGTTAAGTCCTCAGCTGAGGAATATTGGGAGGCAGACCAGGACCAGGCCCAACCCCTAGTGGTATGCTTGAAGAAGCACCCCCTATAACTGTCCTACCGGCAATGGGCAGGCAATGGGCAGGCTACATATGGGGCAGAAGAGGCCCCCTTCCCTTTATATATAATACTTGAGTATTTTTTAAAGTTAGTAAAATATCAAAACTAAATTGAAATAATATAAAGAATTCTCTTAATATAAATTATAGTAAAGATTGATCAGTTAATAGAAGTATACATTATTCCCCAAAGCAAACAGAAGTAGAGATGATCAAATTAATTTTTTTATCCAAAGAAGAGAATATATCTAATCTTGTTCCTATTTTGAAATTGCTTCCGGATTTTGTGCTTGCAATGAAAAAAGAAAGGAAACTTTGATTTTGTTTTTATTAACTGGATAAGTTTATTTTTTATAGAAATGGCATGTACATACTGTTGTGTAAAAGTAAAAAGTTGTGGTTGTAATGTTAGCTTCCACTGTACTGGAGAGAATCAGAAGTCAGTGCCTTTTTCTTTTCTTTCCCTTCTTTAAACTGTTTTCCCCTCCCCCAATTCCTAGTTTTCCCTTATTTTTTGAATTTCTTTTTGTATTTTATATTTTGATAAATCAATAAAAAAGTACAAAAGAAATTAGAATATGTTAAAGCAGTTGTACCTTTTTTTTTTTAGCTTGAATGACAACTGGCTGCAGTCCATTCATTATCCTTGAATTTCTTTTAAGATCCTTCAAAGTAATCCTATGTGCCTACCTATATGACGTCTAAATTGCATATTTAAATATTTTTAAATTCAGATATCTATGTAGCCCCAAAATACAGGTAGTCTTCGACTTACAGCAGTTCATTTAGTGACCATTCAAAGTTACAATAGCACTAAAATAAGTGACGACAATTTTTCATATTTATGACCATTACAGCATCCCCATGGTCACGTGATCAAAATCTGGCTGCTTGGCAACTGGTTCATATTTATGACAGTTTCAGTGTTCCTGATTGATTTTCTGATAAACAAAGTCAATGGGGAAGCCAGATTCACTTAACAACCATGTTACTAACTTATCAACTGCAGTGATTCACTTAACAACTGTGTCAAGAAGGTCATAAAATAGGGCAAAACTCATTTAATAACTGCCTCACTTAGCAACAGAAATTTTGGGCTCAATTGTAGTTATAATTCAAGGACTACCTGTATACCTATGTGAAATATATCACAAAATTCTGAGAAATGGAGATTTGGAGGTACAAATGAGTTATGATGGGAAATGTTAATGGGGAACATCTAAAATTATATTTTTTTTAGAAAATCAAGCAAATACCTTTACTTCTACCTCTACCATCCACATCTCCAATAGAACTCTCTAAGCGCCACTGAGGTATGTTCTGAATAACCAATCCAATTAGTAGCCACATGACTATTGTGCATTGAAGGAATCAGATGTTATTCAACAACACTTCAGAATGTTTTCTTCATTAATACTAATGATATGAGATAAAGACCATATCATGGAACTGATATGACTCCTTGTTAGTAATCTGAGGCATGGACTGTATATTAGTCCTGTTCTTATACTGTGTTTTAAGATCCACCCTGAAAACAAACCCTAGCCTGATTTTTTGGGGTGGGCCTAATATAAGGCCTACCCCAAAAATAAGCCCAGAGGATGGGTGTGGCCAGCACAAGAGGCGGAGAGCGCGCAGGGGTCGATGGTGTCTAGCCGCAGCCCACTGGTCCCTTGGCACAGGGCAAATACTGATAATTCCGAATGTGGAGGCACAGGTGGAGGGGAGAAGACAGGCAATGGCTGTCTGGCTCATGGGACACTCACAGGAGGCTTGTGCAGTGGCACTGGCAGCAGGGGGAGGCAGAGGCATGGGGGATGGGTGAGGCAGGCGATTCTGATGCCCCACATAGATGCCAGCTCGGCACAGCCTCAGGCAAGCCGAGAGATGGTGGGATGGAGTGGGCGGCATATTGGGATCACCTCTGCCTCTGCTTGGCTTTGCTGTGCACTTTTCGTCTAGAGGGAGATGAAGCTTCATATGCTTGCAAAGGGGACACTTTGAAACAGGCCTAATTGCTCTGTGTCTTGCCTGAATCTGTGGAGAAGGAAGAACTGGAGCTGGAGCTGACGATCAAGGGGACAGCTTTTTTGGCTTTGGAGGAATGTGGGGAGGAGCAGGCCGAGGCAGCCCAGGGCCCCTCAGGATTGGGAGGGCTTGTTAGCAGTGAGGAACAGGGGCAGGATGACCAAGAGAGGGCAAACAGTGGACATGAGGAGCGATGGAGCTCAGGCGACGAGCAAGGACCGCCTCCTCCTGATTCCCAAGCACAGAGAGTGGAGAGAAGGCGGGAACAGCACAGGCCAACCCAAAGGCTTGGGAGGAGACCGCCCCGCCCCTCTTCACAAGGCACATCTTGGAACTGAGATTTAAAGAGATGCTGTGGGGAGGGGCATTTGTTGGGAACAAAGGCTAAGTTTGTAGAGTTTGATGTGCTGGTACAGACATTTGGAGTGTGCAGGACTGCTTGCTTCTTCCTTACTTAGTGGACTCAAGAAGTGGGCAGGAAGGAGATCAAAGTAGCTGGGAAATAAGGAGGGCAATCCACAATCGCCCATAGATTGATAAACTGAGGGTGTGTGAGCAATATGCGGTGTCCTACCCCACCTCTGGTGAGCCGGGGCCAGGGAACTCTTGACACTTCCCCAGTAATGCTGGGGAGGGGAGTAAAAGGTGTGCCGCAACAAAGATTTTGGGTGTTGAGAGCGGTAGACAAGGATAATCTATCCCAGTACTCACTCTGTTTTGTTTAAGGGGATCCTCCGGGAGAGAGAATGATGGCTTGGGAAGGAAGCACCCAGGTTCGGCTGCAGTGAGATATACTGGTTGAATGTGTAGCATGTGTTGTGTCTCCTTTGCAGAAAAGACGGGAGAAAAGAAAAAGTCATGTTCTGATCAGTGCATAGCAGCATAATGGTGGGGTTGGGAGAAGAGAGAGAGAAAGCTTCTTGATTACTGTTCATGTCTTTTCACTTTTCACTAAGTGTAAACGTGTGTGTGTGTGTGTGTGTGTTGTGGGGAGCAAAGCTCTTCCCAAGTCTTTTTGCTGCCCTGAAAATATGTGGCGATCACTGTATCTTTCACCAGCTGGGTTGTGTGTGTATTTGCTGACAACCTTCAAATCGCATTCTTCTCCCTTGGGAAGAGTTCCGCTCCCCACCACACACACACAGACACACACAGACACACTCACACATACATGGGGAAAGATTTTTTTGAAGATTTAAATAAAATGGTGTTACAATATATTTGGCAGGGAAAGAAGGCGAGGATAGAATTAAAGTTATTACAAGATGCTAGAAGGCGGGGAGGCTTTGGTTTACCTAATTGGGAACTTTATTATCAAGCAACAAGCCTGATGTGGATTAAAAAATGGATAACTTTAAGAAATATTAGATTATTGAATTTAGAAGAACATGACTTGTTGATGGGCTGGCATTATTTGATATGGGATTTGTTTTATCAATGGATAGATAATAAATCATGGAACTGAAGTATGAAATATGGGGTTGATGTAAAGATAAAATATCTGATTTTTTTTTCTATAAAAGATATAAGTTTCTGTTATAAATTGGTATTTTAGAAATGGATTTATGCACAAGAGAATATGAATCGTTCAACTCACTATCTGTAATTGTTTGGAATGATGATGGTTTTATGTTCTGTTTTTGTTTTAAAATAAAAAAAAATTTCAAAAAAAAAGAGATGACACCAGGAAGAAAAATTTGGCTAAATAAAGGTACTTAAAAGAAAGGGAAATGTATAAATAGGAATGTTGGGGTTTTTGTTTGTTTTGTTTGTTTGTCTCTTTCTCTGTCTTCTATGCAACCATGTGGTATGTTTAAGATTTGTGCCTTCCCTAATTTAACTGATGGCGGGAATGATCAGTGTGTGTGAGAAATATAAGAATTATTCCTGTAAAAGCATAACCTGAGTTACGCCATTTTAAAATCATGTTAAGGCTTTATTTTACTTTGTATTACCTGATTATATAATTTAGCTGACATTTAAGAACATGAGAAAGGAACTATGTAATTCCTGTGTTCTTGAGAATATGTTTATCTTGCAGGAAATATGCTTTTGGGTCAACTTGCCCTCATTAAATAGGGGAAGTACGCATATGCTGATATCACACGTATAAGCAATATTTTTAAGTGGGATATTTTTATACTGGAAATGTGGGGACTTTCCACAGGGGCAAAACATGTGTTCAACTTGTTATATAAGACCTGAAATTGTACGCAAGGGACATGCTTGTATCCTGTACGGTGTAACGATGTAACCTGAAAACTGTATATAAGATGGTAAGAAAGAACCCATAATCCGCCTTCTCACTTTGAGAGGGACCTTTGTAAAGAATAAAATTTATCTTGTCTTGTCTTTCAACTCTCTGTCATTATTTTCAAGGTAACAGGTATTTCCTGTGTATCACAGTATGTGTGTAAATCTCAGAGTTCTGTTTTCCTCTCTTTTGTCCTCCTTGTTTTTATGCATGTATGTCTAAGTCTTTGTGCGCCCTCGAGGTAATTGTAACTGTAAAATGTATCTGATCCCTAGATACAAGAATTTTAAATTGTTAGAGAAAAAAAAAAGGTTGAAGCAATGAAAAATGGGAGAGAGAGAGAGAGAAAAAAAAAGAAAGAAAGAGCCTTTGCCCTATGTTTGTCTGGTCAACAAGAACAGAGTAAAGAGAATTTTTCATTTTATTTCTGTTTTTTTCCTCCTTCCCTCTCTGTATCTTAAAGTAACAACTCAAGTTTATGAGGAAATGTTTTAAGTTCATTTACAAGGAAAAAATTTAGTCTTGCAGTTACTGTATGTGTTTAAATGGTTTTACCTGTTCATCTCTTTCCTGAAGTATATGAATCCAGTTTTTTCTTTTTCATCTGTTATGTCTCCAGTTTGTTGAAACTGCATTATCTGTTTAGTAACTGCAATACTGTTGTGTTGTTTCTTTTCAAACTCTGCCTGCAAGCTATCTACCCCCCCATCTCTAATCCTGTTACAATGCCTTTCCTGGGAAGATTACCCACAAAAGGAGGGAGGGGACCCTGTTCTCATGTCTTTCAGCCCTGCACAGATGACTCTGCAACTGTGGAAGCAGAGCACATGGATCCAGGTGCTGCCTCCAGAGGAGATCTTCCATCTGTTTGAGCCAGGAATTGGGTTTGAATCCAGCCTCCACTGAAAGTCATCACAGCAACCAGAGGGGAGCAGACCTTCCCAAGCCTGACTGACCAGTCTTACCACCAAGCATGCTACCCAGCAGACATGAAAGAAAAGACCCTGAGATGTACAAGTAAAGACTAAAAGACTCTTTTCAATCCCCAGAAGACAGCTGGAAAGACTATGGGGGAGGGTGGAAATTCATTGTAAGGTTTTCTTTCTTATCTCACTTATATTGTGATCAATTTATTATAAGAATTGTATTTGGGAGTGGTTGCCACAGCAAGTTATGTACACCTTAGATTTCTGTCTGGTGGGAGGGAAATTTGTCAAAAATGTCTGTATTGCTTGTATTTTAAAAGTAGCTGCATACACATGCACACACAGAGAGACACCCCATTCAGAATAAGACTGAAACTATTTCCTTCACTTACCTCCACACAAAGCTTCTCCTAGGTTGATTTTTGCTCTGTGGCACTAAAAGCCCAAGTAGTCATATCTCCCTGCTAATTCCTCAGGCAATTCCCTCACTTGAAGAGGTAGCAGAAAAAGTGATATCCAAAACCCAAGCCCTGACTGTGATTCAAAAATGATGTTGCCCAGTTGCCCAGTAAAGCACAATATGTTGCACTGGTGGTTTCATGAGTAGAAGTCCCAGGACTCATTGTGTGTAATTTTTTTTTTTAAAAAAGCCTGGATTGCACAGACTAACCTCAATTTGGACTCACAAATCCTGGCTGCACTAAAGTAAGAGCTAGGCAGATTTAGTAACCAACCCATGAAATGGGCAGCCTGTAATTTAAAGGAAAACCATGGCTGTGAAAATTTTTGGGATGTGTGCTTGCTTGAAACCTGACTGGAAGCTCACAGAAAGTGATATCTGACATCTGAAATTAATTGGCATGGAAAACTGGATACTGTAAAATTATTTCCTGAACTTTTCTCCTGGCAGCTAGACCTTCATGGTTGAAAGCTTTTTGGGAGCCACTGAAGGAATCCCTCTGCTGCCTCTATCAATGCCTTCCCTTTGCATTAGAACAATTAAAAGGACCAATCAAATCTCCCTGACCTGAACAATTTTAATCTTTTGCCAAGAACATGTTTCAAAACTCACGTTTTGAAAAAAAAAAGGAGGGATTGTAGGAAGTTAGCACCCACCCCTTTCCTAGAGGAATGAAATATTTTGGGAAATATTAAAAAGGCAGAATATTATGTTTCCCTGGATGAGAAACGGAGAAGCATGTTTTAAAGACAAAGCAGCTCCTATCTTCCTGCCCCCACCCTTTGTCAATGGGCTAGAGGCAGAAACTAAATCTTTGTCAATGGATCATCATCTGCAACACAATAGGACCCATCTAGCAACAGAAAGTAACACAATAGGACCCATCTAGCAACAGAAACTCACCACATGGCACCTGGGAAGATTACATCAGCCAGCAAGGCTAGCTAAGACCCCTACCCCCTGGGAATCTGACAACCAATCAGGATACTCTTTCTGGGCCCCAGGAAGTTCAAAGCCAGAGAGGGCATAAAACCCGGGAACTCACTGCGTCTCATCCTCTTTTCTGTTCAGGAACTCAAGCCATGTGACCCTGTCCACCATTAAACCATCTTTCTGAGCAGTCTCCATGTTTCCAGTGTCTTTTTCTCCATTTGGAGCTGAACCTAGAAGGATATTTCTTCCTACAATTATACAATGTACTTTTACAGGCCAAACTGCAACACATGCATTGTTGGGCCCTGACGCTCTTGTGATCTCTGGCACTCTGGAGTCATTGTATTGAAGAAGACTTTTAGGAAAGTAAACTAACACTTTATTATTACTAAAAATAAAACAACAAACTGAAGAAAATCTGGAGCATATAAAAAGTCCTGGAGGGCAATTAAGAGTTTATGATGTTAATGTTTTGCTAAATTATTTTCTAAAACCCAAGAATTTTTCAATATAATAAGATCTTAGAATGCAACAAGCTTGGACTATTGAGAAAAAGATAATTACCCTGTTTCCCCCACAAATAAGACATCCCCTGATAATAAGCCCAACCGGGCTTTTGAGCTCATGGCAATAAGGCCAAGCGCTTATTTCAGGATTAAAAAAAATATAAGACACGGTCTTATTTT